AGTTTAGAGTCAGCTTCCTGGGGCTGAACCAGGCTGCTTTCTTGTGTTCTGTGACTTTTTGATTATGGAGAACAAAGAGACATGATTTCATGAAAAGCACCATAGGGATTCAATAAAAAGAAAATAACAGTAACTGCAACAAAAGCAGGTAACTTCTTGAGGGCATACTGTGTGCTGGGAGCTTTAGGGCAAAAATCTCATTTCATCTCTGCCAGCCCTAAGCATTAGGCCGTTGGCATGGAGGCTGCAGAGATCACGGATCATTTGTTGAGGGCTTATATCCCCAGTGCCCAGGATCGTACCTGGTGCGTGGTAGATGCTCAGTTAATGCGTAATGAAAGAATGAATGAATCACACTTACAATAAATGAGGAACTTGAAAATTCAGAGAATGTGAACCACTTACCCAAGGCCATTGGCAGTAAGAGACAAAACTTGGATCTGTGTTATTCCAAAGCTGAAGTTCTGTCTTCTGTATCACACGTTCCCCCTGTGTTTATCAAGACTACTTTGCCTGTAGAGGAAAAAAAACCATGTTTTTATACCTTGTCTCTGTTCCCTTAAGCTTTGTCTCCAGGCCGCTTCTGTGTGTTATGTCTGTTACTTATTCTTCTCCTTTTATACTCTTCCGTTCTTGCAAATGCTGAAAATTCTTACCCACATGTGTGTTTTTCTTTTTCTTTTCCTTCTTTTTTTGAGTTGGAGGCTCACTCTATCGCCCAGACTGGAGTGCAGCGGCCGCTCCCGGCCACCGCAACCTCGACCTGCTGGGCTCCGGCGATCCTTCCACCTCAGCCTTCCAAGTAGCTGGAACTTCAGGCATGCGCTACCACACCCGGCTAATTTTTTTTTGATTTATTGTAGAGATGAGATCTCACCATGTTGCCCAGCGGGTCTCGAACCCGCGGGCTCAGGCAGTCCACTCACCTCAGCCTCCCAAGGCGCAGGATTACAGGCTGAGCCACCGATACCGGCCATGTGTGTTTTTCTTACTTGGAATACAAGAACAGATAAAGTGAGAACTTAGAATACCCATTATTGTGTGTTAGCAATGTCTGCTTTCCATTAATATTAATAACTGAGTAGCTTTTCTGTATTTGTGGCCCACTAACCTCTTGGGTCTTAAACTCTTTAAAGGTAATATTTTTTCCCTCTTGGTGTCATCTCACTGGATTCTGGAAAGTGACTATAGCTCTACTTTTGTTTCTTCTATAACGAATGAAGTGATTTTACTGTGGTGGGTGCATTTTTCTGCCTGCCTGTTTCATGATCACACTTGAAGGTTTTGACTAAGTTTGGCTAAATCTCATAGTTAAGAGCTTTCAAGTAACATCATAAATTTGCTTTCTGATTCACTCCGACCACTGAAACAAAGTGTCAGTCAAGAATTGTTCAGGTTGGGCTCAGTGGCTCAGCCTGTAATCCCACGCTTTGGGAGGCCGAGGTGAGAGGATTGCCTGAGCCCACGGGTTCGAGACCCACCTGGCAACTTGGCGAGACTTCATCTCTACAATAAATAAAAAAATTAGCCGGGCGTGGTAGCGCGCGCCTGTAGTTCCAGCTACTTGGAAGGCTGAGGCGGAAGGATCGCCGGGGCCCCGCAGGTTGAGGCTGCGGAGGTCGGGAGCGGCCACTGCACTCTAGTCTGGGTGACAGAGTGAGACTCCAACTCAAAAAAAAAAAAAAAAAAGAATTGTTCAAATGAACACATGTCAGTGGAGTTTAAGATCATTTGTTGTGTTGATAGAGGTGTGTGGTTGTCATTAGTTGTAAGTGTAATCATGACTAGCACACAGTATCAAAAGCACCTGTGGGGGGGTTAGGGGAAAGGCTGGCAAATGACAACTTCCAGGTAGCGGATGCCCCCAGCTTGCCCAGCCTCCGATGAATAGCACTGACACCACCGCTCTTCCAGGCACACGCCCTGTGGGGTAGAGGTTTACGAACGTTGGTTTGGAGACCAACAGACCTGAGTTCCACTTCCCACTCATGCACTTACTGGCTATAATACCTGGAGCAAGTTCCTTAAGCCCTCTGAGTTTCTTATTCCTCATCTTTTAAGTGGCGGTCACACCACACGTTTCTTTGGGTGGTCGTGGGGCCCAACAGCTCGGCAGAGCCACAGCACATGGTGAGTGTTCCCTGACTAGGGACTGTGGTTAGCCCACTGATGGAGCAACCTGGCTGCCGCCCACTACGAGTAAAATGGTGACACTCGGTTAGCAATGCTGAGTGGAGACAGGGCAGGAAAGGGTGAGGCGAGGGGCCACAGCATCACACCTCACAAATGTTTTCCTCCAGAGCCCCGAGGATGATGACAGGAAGGTCCGAAGGAGAGAGAAAAACCGAGTTGCTGCTCAGAGAAGTCGGAAGAAGCAGACCCAGAAGGCCGACAAACTCCATGAGGTGAGACTGGTTGAGGCAGACTGCATTAGAGCCAAGGGACAACCTTGCACGGGGGCGGGGGTGATCAGGTCCCTGTCCTCCTTGTCATGAATTCAGCCACACACATATCTAATTCTGTCGGGTCCTTCCTGCCTAGGGTTCTGAATCTTTTGCTTATGGACATCTTCAGTTCTCCCTCATCCACCGGCTGCTTCTCATACTCAAGTTCCTTTCATTATAAAGCAAAACAAAGCCCCTTCTCGGTCCCCATTCCCTTTCAAGTTCTTGCCTCCTTCCTTTTCTCCCCTTACTGGCCTGCTTAAAAAGAGTGGCTGACACCTGCTGTCTCCGTGTCCTCATTTCCTGTTTATTCCCCAGTCCTCTGTGATTTTATTTCTGCTCCTCCCCACCCAGTGCACACAAACACAGCACACACACCCAACATACATGCATGAACTCGCACAGCCAACACATTACACACTCAAACATGCCTGCATGCACCACTCACAACCAACACACACACACAACACACATGCGTGTACACACACAGCCAACACATAACACACTCAAACATGCATGCATGCACCACTCACAACCAACACACATACACAACACACATGTGTGGATACACACAGCCAACTCACACTCACACCTAAACACACATGCATGTATGCGCACACACACCCCCTGCAGAAGCTGTTCCCTCTGCAGCCACTAGTGCCCTGGCACTGCTCTATCCATAGTCCTCTTTCTGATCTCATCATCCTTGACCTCTGTGGATCATTTGACACCTTTGACCATCCTTTCTTGAAGCTGTTCCCTCTCTTGCTTCTAAAAGACCACATCTCCTAGTTTTCTTCTTCACTACTTTTTGTTTCTTAGTTTCTTTGTTAGCTTTTCTACCTCTGTTTTCTTAAACGTTGGTGTTGACCAGGTTTCAGACTCTGTGTGCTTTTTTCTTCCACCTTGCGAGATGTACTCTATTAATGTGTTTTCCTAACATTGATTACTTACTCTAAGCAGGCCCTCTGTCCTGGTCTCTACACCCCATAACTTCAGTTATTGGCTTAGAAGTCTCCCAATGGGTCTGCTGCAGGTTTCGCCATTGCACCACATTCATAACAGAGTACTGTGTCTCTTTACCCTGAGACCTCCTCTTCTTGCTGTCTTCGAATAATAATTAATGGAGCTAACCATCTTTCACACATCTTTCATCTTTCTCACATCTTTCTCACATAGCTTAGGATTTATCCTAACCCATTCCACTTTCCTCAACCCTTAAGCTTGAATCCACACAATCCTACAACCAGGACATGGAATAGCTCCATACCAAGAACTGGCCTTGAAACCATCCAAGGACCTGTCTAGGGACTGGGAGACAGATCCCTGCTTTCTTCTTTGCACGGGATTGGTGTGCATGATTAAAGATGTTAGGTTAGCTCTCTCCTGCTGTGCTTTCTTGCCATGGCTTGTCTCTGTCAGGCCAGTCTGGGGCATTGAGAACACAGAGACTCTGAGGTGTTTCAGAGAGAGGAGAAGGGCAATCTCAAACTCTTTAACAATGAACAGAGAACAAATGTAGAATGCACGCAGCCCAGGGGCAACCCACCGACATAAATTCACAGCGTGGTGTCAGTTTTAAGTGTCACATTCTTTTTGGCTAGGCCTAGAAAGGAGGGTCTCCAGACCAGGGTCAAGGATGGTCCTTCCCAGCCTCTGTTTGTACTGTGTATAATTTCCACAGAAGAATTGCAATGTTCTTTGCCCTCTCTCTTCCTTCCCTCTTGCTCCTGAAGCAATTGTGGTTCTGGCTTCATGTTACCAAATAATACCCGCAGGAGCCTGGGGCTCACAGTTAGTACACAGTCCTGTATTCAGACAACATGTACCAGCGGGACAACCAGGGGTCTACGCCTCAAGAAGCTCCTAGTGTAAGCAAGGTGCACTAATATATATATATATATATAACTCTAATATATATAATCTATATTTAACTCTAGTTTTATTTTTTAATTACTTGTAAGTCCAGACCAATTATGTGTCCAGAGGTGACTAAGTATCTCAGACAAGGACTTTCATGAAGCAAAGTTGAATAGATCTGTCCCACAAATACCAAGGCGTAGCCGTTGGGTCACAAGGAGAGGAGGAAGATATGGTTCCTGTCCTTGGGGAGCAGAGGATTTCCCAGTGAAAGTGTCTTGTAGCTGCTGTAACAAATTCCCACAAATTTGGTGGCTTAAAACAACACACATTTACTATCTTACAGTTTTGGCAGTAGACATCCGAAATGGGTGTCACTAGGCTAAAGTCAAGTATCAACAACAGGACTGCATTCCTTCGGGAGGCTCTGGAAAAGATATGTTTTCATGCTTTTTCCTGCTTCTAGAGGCTTCCATGGTTCCTGGGCTTATGGTCTTTTTCCGCCTTCAGAACCAACAATGCTTGGTTGAGTCTTTCTTGTGCTGCATTGCTCTGACACTGCTTCTGTGGTCTCATCCTCTCTGACTCTCCTGACCCCCTTCTTCACTTTCAAGGACCCTCGTGATTACATTAAGCCTGCTTGGATAATTTAAGATAACCTCCCCATTTTAAGCTTCTCAACCACCTCTGCAAAGTCCCTTTTGCTATGTAAGGAAATATATTCGCAGGCACAAGAGATTAGGATGTAGACATCTTTGAGGGGCCATTATCCTGCCTACCACCAAAGATAACATAAATACTCACATAACTTTACTACTGTCAAAAAGACACCCAGATGAAGCATCGAATTTCTCTCCATTTCTCTTATTGTTAGATTTAATAACCAAGTGAACCAGGTGTCTGGGAACTTAGGGAAGTTGCCACATTTACCCCTGCCAGATCCCTCTTGGAAGCATGGGGCGGAGAGCCCTTCCATGGGGTACCCACCCTGCTCTCCTGCCCAGAGACTGTGTTGCATGAGGGTCACGCCAGCTGCCCTTTCCAGAAGTGGGACAGGTTGATCTGAAGCCCAGTCTCTCCATAGAAGAGCACCCTCTTCTCCTCTTTCTCTGTGGGACTAGAGGAATGCGTCAGGATTATGTACCACTGGCAGGTCACCTCAGCAAGGCCAGCTTTGTTAAGAAACACAGGGTCAAGGAGGCCAGGACAGTGGCTCCATCTGTATGCAAACTCCAAAACTGTAACCCCGATCCTACCCTCACCGTCCATATAGTGTCACTGGTCACAAGAGGGTGTGAGGGAGTGGGATACTGGTTTAGGAAAATGGAAACACATTCCAAACCGTCTGCAGAACAAGAGGGATATCATTGCTGAACCGAAGGGTGGCATGTGGATAATCCCTTCCCTGCTCATTCCTGGTCTTCCAGGAAGGCATTGTGGCTATGAGGATCAGTGCTCTGCAGATCCAACAGTTTAGTAGGAGGATGTTGAATGACTAAATCTACCTGTTGGAGCTGGGGTGCCTGGTTAAAAAATGGGGCAAAGAGCCAGTTTCCTGTGCTCCAGTGAGTTGAGTGCAGAGCAGCTAGCACGTTGCTATGTGCTTGGGACCCTGGGCCTCCAATGCCACATCTAGGATGGGGATACCAAGCATGGAAACCTCCTCAAACTTGGAGTGGGACTAGCTCGTTGGGAGGCACAGAGGGACTTGGAACACAGCCCCCTGGTGGCCATGACTGCCTGCTGCTCTGTGGAGCTGGTGGCTCCTTAAGAGGGTTTACCCACTGGTTCCTTTATGCCATGCTGTGGTGTAGCGTTCCTGAGTATCTCAGAGTAACTCAAGCTCTTCACTTGCCTTGTTTGAATACCCCGAGGGGGAATCTTTAGACCAAGATGCTTAAAACAGTCACTTTTCTCTCCTGCCCATGTCACTCACACACCCCACTTGCTCCTGAGCCCCTCTCCTCTCCAACACCCTCAGAAACCTCCTTCACCTCCTGCTCTTAGGAGTTTGTAGCCAAGTTCCTCCCCTCCTGGCTTTCCATCATCAAAGCCCAAGGGCCGTCCATCAAGGCAGGAACTCCATGGAGGGGAGGAAAGGGAGAGCCCCTGCACAGGTCATTGCCAGAGGGCAGGAGCTGGGGTTGCCCTTCGACTAGAGTTTTCCGGCAGTTAAGTTGCCATGATGAAGAGTGGTTCCTGAGGTGGGTCTGCATACCTCGGTGTTCACTGTGGGTTTCAAATCGTCCCTTCTACTCGCTTACACCTCTCATGGGGATTTTGACCTCCATTCATCTCTGAACATTAGGCGTGTGCCCAAGTCCGCACTCACAAATGGGAGCCAAAACAAACAGCCAAGACCTTTAGGACAACCTAAACTATGGTTCAGAAGTGGGTCAGGCTGGTTCGACTGGGTACCCAACGGTGTAAAACTGAGAATTTTGAGTCAGAAAAGGAGAGCAGCAGTGCTATCCTCGAAAGCCCCAAATGTTACAAACTGACAAATGACTTGGGCAGTAGGGTTGTGGGTGTGTTGCCATGGTTTTTTCACATACTGCATGTTCTGGGAGAATGCTTCATGTCAGTACCCACTTGGTTTAGAAACTGATTATGACACTAATGTGGATAGACCTTGCTAGTGACACAGTTTTTCTGCTGGGAAGCTAAGACTTGGGAATTGATTGACTTATTGTAAAATTCTGAGATCTTATGGCCTTTCACTGCTGGTAATTACCATGGGGAAACTGGGGCCAAGGCACTGCCAACCGAAAACAGAATTATTGATGCTGTATGAGGGTTGCAGTTCACCTTGAAATCAGGGATCAGATCCCAAGTCTGTATGACCTTGGAAAAGTCACTGCACCTCTCAGAGCTTTAGTCTTCTTAACTTGTGAAATGGGGTCTGTGTGCAGCTGTGCCCTGATGGCCTCTTCCTACCCCTCCTTTCCTTCTCACCTTAGTTGTCATCTCTGGTCCCGGGTACCCACATCAGCTTCTTTACCACTCCTTGATCCTATCTTCAGCCTCAGAGGCACCCTGAACCCTAAATATCCCCAGACAGCTCCTCAATTCCCAGTCAACTGCTCCTAGATGCCCAGAAGAGGGTTTCTCAACCTCAGCACTGTTGACATGTAGGGCTGGATGATTTCTTGCTGTTGAAGGGCTGTCCTGTGCTCTGTATGACATTAAGCAGTATCCCTGGTATCTAGCCAGGGGATGCAGTAGCAGCCCCTCCCCCAGCTGTGGTAACCAAAAGTCTCCAGATGCTGCCAAATGTCCCTTGGAGAGAGCCAAAGCTGCCCTAGTTGAGGTCCGCTAACATAGGCAGCTAAATTTTTGAGACAGAACTGGGATTTGCAGTGATTTCACTACTTCTAAATTTTAGGTGTCTGCTTTGAAACCATGTCCTGGCAAATACCCAGGGAAGGCAGCAGAGTAACCTCAAACCTTCCTGTGGCAAAGGATTCGAAACCCAGCAGGGTTTGAGCTAGATGGATCAGGTCTTTGGAAATAAAGGGTTCAAAGTTCTTTGCATATTTTCTGTTTACATTAATGCCAGTAATTTCTTCTCAGTGTGAAGTGGGTTTCATTCTTTCTCCTTTATTCCAATCCCATGTTCTCTGGGCTCTTCTTTCTTTTCTTTCTGCTCTTTTCATTTTTGTAGAACCGGTCCCACCTGAAGATTTTGACTTCTCTTCTTCTTATTCCCTCAGCTCCGTAAAAGTCCCTTAGCAGATGAATGAGCAAAACTTAAATTCCAGAAGAGAAAGTCCCTGTGGAGAAGGCAGATGAGAGGGGCCTGCATGACTGCCTGTGCCAGGCAGCTCTGAAGGCTCTTTGAGCAGGGAGTTGGGGAAAGCGAGGGTGCCTCAGTAAGGCATTAGGCCTCAGGGCTCCTCGTGGCTTCTAGAGACTAAACTCAGAAGCTCAGTATCTTGCTGCAGAATTCAGTCAATGCAGAAAAGCAGTTTGGAATATCGTGCTGAAGGAAAAGAACTTTGTGTTCTTTGGCATAGTTAAAATGCTAGCTTGTTAGAACCATTCAAATCTACTTTCCTTTTTTCCCTTGAAGGTAAAGGGCATTTCTGGTTGCAGAGTAGAGTGTGTGTGTGCACGCATGTGCATGTTACAGCCTCTCTCATCTCTCTGCAGCCTGTGGACTTCCCTCGATCCCTTGGCTTCCACCCCCATCCTCCCATCCAGACCCTCCTCTCCTCTTGCCCATGGAGGGCTTGTTGCTGGTTGCATAGATAAAATTCTGACTCCAAGGACTAGAGCTGGTCAGGAGCCAAAGGGGAGCTTGAGGCATTGGGGGTGGGCACCAGGGAGGAGGATGCAGACAGAATGGGGCCAGTGCATTAGTGAAGCCACGCTGACCTAGGTCAGCCTATGAAGAGAAGCCTGCTGCCCTGGAGTGTTCCCAGGAGGCCACCCTGGGAACCTGTCTGGGAAGGGCTCCGTGGACTTTGCAGTCAGACCCTCCAGGCCACTTGGTTCTGTAAGAGAGGAAGATGCCTAGATGGGGAGGGAGGGAAGGAAGGTGTAAGAGGAGACCAAGAAGTCACTGAGTGAGTAGATGCTGGTACTTGGGCCCATCAGGCAGGGATATGAGAGAGGGTAGCAGACGCTCCTATACATCTCTCACCTTTGGGGAGAGACATTATTTGACATCAATGAGACTGAGTATGACATAAGACTGAACAGAACATTGTGATAAAAGATGTGGTTCTGTGAAGCCTTCTTGGAAGTGGTAGGCTTTAACTAGTCCCACACAGAGAAGGAAGAAAGACATTCCAGTTGGGAACTGTGTGACCAAAGGGGCAGGATTGAGAATTTACATGTGTCTTCAGGACTGTAAGAAGATCAGACTGCTTTAGTGATAATTGTTTTTTCTTTTTTGAGTCGGGGTCCCACTCTGGCACCCAGGTTGGATTGCAGTGTCATGATCACAGCTCACCGCAGCTTCAGCCTCCTGGGCTCAGGTGATCTTTCCACTTGAGCCTGCTGAGTATCTGGGACTACAGGCACATGCCACTGTGCCTAGCTAATTTTTTCTAAATTTTCTGTAGAGTTGAGGTCTTGCTATGTTGCCTAGACTGGTCTCCAACTCCTGGGCTCAAGCAATCTTCCTGACTCAGCCTCCCAAAGTGCTGGGATTATAGGCATGATCCACCATGCCCAGCTTTAGTGATATTCTTTTTTTTTTAGTTGGAGTCTCACTCTGTTGCCCAGACTGGAGTGCAGTGGCCGCTCCCGGCCACCACAGCCTCGACCTGCTGGGCTCCGGCGATCCTTCCGCCTCAGCCTTCCAAGTAGCCAGAATTACAGGCATGAGCTACCACGTCCGGCTGATTTTTTGATTTATTGTAGAGATGAGGTCTCACTGCCCAGGCGGGTCTTGAACCCGCGGGCTCAGGCAATCCACTCACCTCAGCCTCCCAAAGGCGCGGGATTACAGGCTGAGCCACCGAGCCCGGCTTAGTGATATTTCTTAAAAATTACTAGTAAGAAGGAAAGTGGAATGGGTAATAAGGTTGGATCCCCAGCTTGGGAAACACATAGTGTTCATGGGACAACAAACTCCAACTGTAAGCTAGAAGTGAATGAAAGCATGTCAGCAAGATTTAAGTAAAATTGGGCCTAGAGAGTGTCTCTATTGGCATTCCATAGAACTCGGCCAATGGCTGTGTGTTGAAGAACTTATTCATAACTTGGATGCAGAAGAGGAAGACCTGCTTATCAAGTGAGTGGGGTGGCTTAAAGCTGTGTGGTATCACACATCCAGGAGGCCACACAGTCGAGATATAAAAAGGTTCTGCTAGGATCAAAGGTGTCCAAATAAAGAATGAGATTCAGTGAAGACAGATGTAAAGCCCTATCCTTAAGCTCTGTAATATCAGTTATCGTCCCAGTATACACATAGAAGCAGCACATGCAGACAAAACTCGCACTTCTCTGCATGCGCAGGGTGAATACTCAACACCTTGGGTCCAGCACAGAGGAGGCCACAGCCACACATTTGCCCTCTGCATGGTCCCCAGAATCATGCACAGCATCCTGGGAGCAACAGTTTCTTAGAGCAGCAGTTTCTCAGAGACTCTGGCATATGGGAGTGCATCTCGGGGATGGTGTCCAGAAGGGCAAAGGGCTGCAAGTCCTGACACGAGGAATTGGAAGACCTGATATAGCTGAACTCAGAGAATATCCAAGCAGGAGTGTATGGGGCTATATTCTTACATTTCAAAAACTGTGATGTTGAAAAATGTATTATATTTACTCTGTGGTTCTGTTGGGCGAAACCAAGTCCAAGGTGTAGATTTGGATCCTTTCAAAGAGTTTTCTAATAGAACAACTCAGACATGACAGGGACTGTTTTTTGAAGGTGGAAGTGCTCAGCACAAGTTGGGTGTCTGCGCTAGAATTATATGTGGAAGGATTCTACATTGTGTGTGTTGGGCCAAGGGATCTTTCTGGTCTTCTCCCATTCTGAGCCTTTGTAAACCCCAATAGCGTGGAAACTAACCAGATGGGTCCTGGAGCAAAGCAAGGATTGTTTTCATTCATGTATTCGTGCAACAAACATATGTTATGTTCCAGGTACTGTCATAGGCTGGGGGTATAGCTGTGAACCTAGCAGAGACCTTCAGAAAGCACATCGGCAGCTGAGGGGACTGACTGCCAGGGGGCATGAGGGAATTTTTTGGAGTGATGGAAATGTTCTGTATATTGATCAACACAGATGTATATATTTGTCAAAATGCATTGGATTATACATTATACATTGGATTATAGATGCATTTTATTTTATGTAAATTATACCTCAATAAAGTAGATTCAGAAAACAAAGCCCTGCACTGATGACCCTTTCATGGTAATGGGAGGAGAAAGACATTATGCAAATGAACACATTTGAGTGGCAGAGAGGACATGATGATGCAGCTCGTGGGCAGTGTGAGGTGGGCAGTGTGGGGTAGAGCTGCTGGGGGGACAGAGGAAGTCAGGGCAATTTCAGAAACGATGTTGCCCGTTCTCTGCCTCCCACAGGAGTATGAATGCCTGGAGCAAGAAAACACCCTGCTACGGAGAGAGATCGGGAAGCTGACCGAGGAGTTGCAGCACCTGACCGAGGTGCTGAAGGAACACGAAAAGATGTGCCCGCTGCTGCTCTGCCCCATGAACTTTGTGCCGGTGCCTCCTCGGCCGGACCCTGTGGCTGGCTGCCTGCCCCGATGAAGCCTGAGGATGCTCCTCGGCCACGTGGGAACTTGGTTGCTTTCCCACTTGGGAGGAAGGGTTTCCCTCCACAATTGTGTACAAGGGGACCTGTGGCGGGGTCGCCTCCTGGGAACGCCCAGGCAGACTGGACTCAGCATGATGCCCCACAGGGCAGGTGACTGGCTCTCAGAGCCCTTAACGCAGATCCAACAGGAAGGCCACCCTCAGGAGTGACTTCTCATCCACCCTGGCATTTAGTAGGTTCTGCTATTATGCAGAATCGTTTATGCAGAAATTCCTGTAGAATTTGGGTAATAAAAATGATTATTATCTCTCTGTTCTCCAAGTTCTTGGAATTTAGAGGCACAATACACTACTTCTGGAGGAGGAGAAACCCTGGCAGAATAGAAACTAAGCAGATGAGTGTCTCCTTGGGTTGTCTTGTGGCTCATGGGCCTTGCCTCCCTACCTGGTCACATCCATGGTAGGCTGTGGCGGAGCATAGGCCAACACGACTTCCTTGCCACCCTAGGCTTCCAAAAGTTGTTGACCCAACTGGGTCATGAAGGGGCGTGTGGGATATGACTCATGTCTGTTTTATCCTGTATACAGCCCTCCATCTTAGTCAACTCTCATGCCCATGCTGGACTGTTGTGGAAGAGTTTCTGTTCCAGGTTGAATTTCTCAACTGCTCTGTGTGCTCCTGGCACTTTCCCATTCCTTAAGTAGGTACAGGATCAGAGGAAAACTTTGTATTAGTTATTAGTCTGAATCATGAGTGTGTGTGGGGGGGGGAATCTGTCCCCTTATTTAAACAAATATTTGGATAGATGAGAAGAGCAATTTCCTTTCAAAAGTTCTGTCTGTCTGACTATAGTCTTTCAGAACCAAGCCATGTTGAAGGTGTCCCAGGGAGGAAAGCAGATTGGTAAGACACTCCCCATCCTACTCCAATTCTCTTTTTCCCTGAAAGAGAGGTGGTTCTGGAGAGTGGAGCCATCCCATCATTTAGGGAACAAGAAAAGGGGACAGAAAGGGAAGTGCTTTGCTGTAAATGTAGATGGCTAACAAAGAAAAGAAATAGAGCAGACAGCTGGGTTGGGGTCGGGCCTGGCCTTGCTGGCTGCTGCGGCACTCCACAAAGGGTAGAAAATGTCTGTGGATGTGACATTTCTGGGAACGGGTGCAGCATACCCATCTCTAACCCAGGGTGCTTCTGCCGTGGTCCTTCGGTGTGAGGGCGAGTGCTGGCTCTTTGTGGGGAGGGAACACAGACACAGCTTATGAAAAGTCAGCTTAAAGCAGGACAGAGTTTTCGAATGGCACATGGATTGGGAGAGAATAGCATCAGAGAGACCAGTTCCAAGGCAGCGGTGATTTATTTGAGAGCGAGAATAAGAGTATGAGAATGTTGAATGAGGATGTAGAGAGAGGGGTGGAGATGAGAGAGTCCATTTAAGAGGGACTCGTAGAGCCAGAGGCAAGTGGTGACTGACTGAGTGGCCAGTGTGTGAGGAAGTGAAGTCACTACAAGTCACTGATGGTGACGCACTGGACCTAGAAGGAAGTCAAGAAAAGGGTTGCTGGAGGAAGAAGCCTTGGAGCATGTGGCCTTGAGGTATACACCATGGAAACCTACTTATTTACTATCTTGGGTTGAACCCTTGAGGGAGAATTCCCAAGATCTTCATCACACATCTTCATGGAGACCATTTATTTGGCTTTCCTGGCCTCCTCTGCACCATCAGTCTGCAGAGTGGCTCCATGGTCTCCAAATAGCCTATTGAAATCTACGGCCCTGTAGGGCTTCGGGACTTCATCTGGCAAACCATGGAGCTCTCTCACATGGAGTTGGTCTTCCCTTACATGGTCCATGAGCTGGTGCCTACCGCAGATCAGTGTCCTGCAGAAGAACCAAAAGAGTTTGCCCTTGCGAACAGAGCAGAAAGCCCACCCAAGGAGGGGCAAGGAAGAACTATCCTATTAGATTCAGAAGAAAGCTCATACCTTCTGGTTGATGATGAACAGTTTGTTGTAAAAGCATTCCGCCTTTTTCACAGAATTCCCTCATTTGGGTTTTCAGTCATAGAAAAGAAACGCCCAGGTAAACCCAATGCACAGAAACTAAAAGACCTCTGTGTTCCGCCAGGTCCTGCCTAAGGGAAACTGAAAAATGGAATTTCTGTTGTTCTGGAAAATGGGGTTACAATTTATCCCCAAGATGTCTTTAAAAAACCTATTGTTGGAAGAAAAATCTGCATATTGGGTGACTGTTCTGGGGTTGTGGGTGATGGAGGAGTGAAGCTATGCTTTGAAGCAGACCTGTTGATCCATGAAGCAACCCTGGATGACGCCCAGATGGACAAAGCAAAGGAGCATGGCCATGGCACACCACAGATAGCAGCAACATTTGCAGAGTTGTGCCATGCAAAGAAGCTGGTTCTGACTCACTTCAGTCAGAGGTACAAACCAGTTGTCTTGACCAGAGAAGGAGAAACAGATGGCATTGCAGAACTAAAAAAGCAAGTTGAGTCAGTGCTGGATCTCCAAGAAGTGACTCTAGCAGAAGACTTTATGATGATAGGCATTCCGATCAAGAAATGAAACCAATGTTCCTGGATGCATATTGACATATCTGTGAATATGTTACTGACCCTATAGTCCTGTTTTTTATTTTTTGTTTTTAGTCTGAAATTATCTGGGCTCTAATAATCCTAAAAAGAATGGAGCTGCATTGCTGAACTGACTCAATAGAGGGAGCAAGTTTTTTTTTATAATAAATCATTTTTTAAAGAAAAAAACCCCAGCAACCCTCTTACAGCCCAAATCTGATGATATGTTCAGGTATGCTTCTTGTTTTGTGCTGTTGCCACAGCTAAAAACCAATATTCCATGCAGTCCTGGGCTTAGCTTCTGCCCAACTTTATTGCTGCTTTTGGGAAAATACACAGGGCTTGACCCTCTTGGCTAAAAATTGTTTTTTGACAGTTTGTGTTGAATCTGTTTGTGTTATTAACTGAGTAGGGAGAAATGTAACGAGACATTGGACATGCAGGATTGACGATAACATGACTATAGCTGTGATGGAATACTGAGTGCAGGGTTTGACTGGGTGTTTATTTTATTGAACTTTCTGGTTTGCTCTTAACCCATGGCTCTCAGCTGGGGTGAGGCTGCTCCCCTATAAAAAGCTTTGACGTTGCGGAGATGTTTTCTTCTCACAGTAACTGAGGGTGGGGGATGGGGGTGGTACTTCTACTGGTATTTAGTCAGTAGAAGTTAAGGATATTAGATGTCTTGCAAAGTTTAGGTCAGTCCTATACAATAACCGTCTCCCCCCAGAATGCAAATTGCAGATCTGTTGAGCTACACAGCAAATGAAAACTTATACTCCCAATGTGGATATACTTTACCAAAATTAGTGCCATTAAAGGTTGAATTACTAGGTAAATCAAATCCTACAACAAATCCTAAAGAGTAAATATTGTTGAAATTGGAAGAAAAAAAATAGATTGCAGCCCCTCCCAGGAGTGAAGAACTTGCTGACGCCTGTAAGTATGCGTTGCCTACTCCCCATGAGCCCTCTCTTTCCTGGGGAGGGTTCCCATCCTATTGGAAGCCTGCCTGGTCTCCTGTAACAGGCACAGGATGAAGGCTGCAAAATATCCCTCATCAGAGGCACGGGGAGGCAGCTGATAGGGAACAGGGCTGATGCCTGCGGGAAGTCAGGGGCAAAAACTTCCTGATGTAGCTGATTCAGGGGAATGATGCCAGTTTATAGTACAAGAGACATCAAAGTCACTCACGCTGGCCCCTCCATTTTGCAGATGAAGGACTTAGATGCAGTGAGGGGAAGGAGCTTGCTCAAGGGCACCTGGGGGTGAGCAGTAGAAGCAGGTTGAGACCTCAGGTGATCTCCTCATCCGCTGTTGAGTTCATAGAGTTAGGTGGAAGCCATGCAACAAGGAGCTAAGTTGAGTCCTGCCCATCTGGTGTCTACATGTGGCATGTCCTCTATCATCAACTCACAAGGCTGATCAGGACAGCACTGTCCACTAAGCAGCCCGTCTGTGATCAGAGCCAGGGTCCCAGGGGTCTCTGTGGCTGTGAGGAGGAACACAGCAGGCATTTTGCTGGCGGCTGACTTTCAGCTCCAGAACTTTCCAGGCCTGCAGGTTGCTGTGGGTCTCAGCTTGATCCTGCAGAGCTTCCTTCCATGTTCTTGGGAGTTGTGGACCCCTCTGGCTGACCTGACTTCCCAAATCCAGCTGTGCTACTCTGACCTTTATGCTCACTATCATTCTGCTGGCTGCTCCCTTGCTCTGCTGCTAACCCCAGGGTGTCCATGTCTGCTGGCCCCACTGGCCTGATTTTCTTTCATCTGTGTCCAGCTTGATCTCCCATAGTCCCCCGGCTCCCATTTTCTCTGTGTCCCCAAGGCCTCGCAGTGCCTCCGCTCCTCCACTTTGACTGGGGGGCTGGAGAGGAGGGGTCCATGGGGGATGAGGTAAAGGGCTATGTCCTGGAAGTGACAGTCCTCATCCTCCCCCACAGTCCACTGGCCGGAACTCAGTCACAGGGACTCAGCCGGTTACAAGATACGTTGGAAATGACATTCAGCCAAGTGCTCAGGGGGAGGAGGAACTGACTTTGGTGAATATCTGCCAGGCTTGCCGTGTGGAGTCCTTTGGGAGACAGAAGCAAGAGAACTGCCTGAGCCCGGGGGTTCGAGACTAGTCTGGGCAACTTGGTGAGGCATTATCTCTATAATAAATCAAAAAATTAGCTGGATGTGGTGGCACACACCTATGGTTCCAACTACTTGGAAGGCTGAGGTGGAAGGATCACTTGAGCCCAGCAGGTCAATGCTGTGGTGGCTGTGAGCATGCCACTGAACTCCAGCCTGGATGACAATAAGACTCCAATTTAAAAAAAAAAATCTGCCAGGCTCTGCCATAAGATCTAGCTCTTGCTAAAACTACCCACTTAGAGGTCACCAGTAAGCCCTGGTTACTAAATGTAACAGGCATGCCTCAAGTTTTAGCTTCCTTTGCTTTATTATTATTATTATTATTATTATTATTATTATTATTATTATTAGAGATGAGGTCTCACTATGTTGTCTAGGCTGGCCTCAAATTCCTGGACTCAAGCGATCCTCCTGTCTCGGCTTCCCAAAGTTCTGGGATTATGAGCATGAGCCACCACACTTGGTCATTATCTTCCTTTATTTTCCAACAGACAATGACACTGGCTTCTATCTTTCTTCTTCCCTCTCCCTGCTTCATCTTAGGCACCTTCTATCCCTATACTGACAACATTCACATATGTG